CCGCCTTGCTCATTCCTTTCCCCCTTGCCCATGCCTATCCGCCTTGCTCATTCCTTTCCCCCTTGCCCATGCCTATCCGCCTTGCTCATTCCTTTCGCCCTTGCTCATGCCTATCCGCCTTGCTCATTCCTTTCCCCCTTGCCCAAGCGTATCCGCCTTGCTCATTCCTTTCCCCCTTGCCCATGCCTATCCGCCTTGCTCATTCCTTTCGCCCTTGCCCATGCCTATCCGCCTTGCTCATTCCTTTCGCCCTTGCTCATGCCTATCCGCCTTGCTCATTCCTTTCCCCCTTGCCCATGCCTATCCGCCTTGCTCATTCCTTTCCCCCTTGCCCATGCCTATCCGCCTTGCTCATTCCTTTCCCCCTTGCCCATGCCTATCCGCCTTGCTCATTCCTTTCGCCCTTGCCCATGCCTATCCGCCTTGCTCATTCCTTTCCCCCTTGCCCATGCCTATCCGCCTTGCTCATTCCTTTCGCCCTTGCCCATGCCTATCCGCCTTGCTCATTCCTTTCGCCCTTGCTCATGCCTATCCGCCTTGCTCATTCCTTTCCCCCTTGCCCATGCCTATCCGCCTTGCTCATTCCTTTCCCCCTTGCCCATGCCTATCCGCCTTGCTCATTCCTTTCGCCCTTGCCCATGCCTATCCGCCTTGCTCATTCCTTTCGCCCTTGCTCATGCCTATCCGCCTTGCTCATTCCTTTCCCCCTTGCCCATGCCTATCCGCCTTGCTCATTCCTTTTCCCCTTGCCCATGCCTATCCGCCTTGCTCATTCCTTTCCCCCTTGCCCATGCCTATCCGCCTTGCTCATTCCTTTCCCCCTTGCCCATGCCTATCCGCCTTGCTCATTCCTTTCCCCCTTGCCCATGCCTATCCGCCTTGCTCATTCCTTTCCCCCTTGCCCATGCCTATCCGCCTTGCTCATTCCTTTCCCCCTTGCCCATGCCTATCCGCCTTGCTCATTCCTTTCCCCCTTGCCCATGCCTATCCGCCTTGCTCATTCCTTTCCCCCTTGCCCATGCCTATCCGCCTTGCTCATTCCTTTCCCCCTTGCCCATGCCTATCCGCCTTGCTCATTCCTTTCCCCCTTGCCCATGCCTATCCGCCTTGCTCATTCCTTTCCCCCTTGCCCATGCCTATCCGCCTTGCTCATTCCTTTCGCCCTTGCTCATGCCTATCCGCCTTGCTCATTCCTTTCCCCCTTGCCCATGCCTATCCGCCTTGCTCATTCCTTTCCCCCTTGCCCATGCCTATCCGCCTTGCTCATTCCTTTCGCCCTTGCCCATGCCTATCCGCCTTGCTCATTCCTTTCGCCCTTGCTCATGCCTATCCGCCTTGCTCATTCCTTTCCCCCTTGCCCATGCCTATCCGCCTTGCTCATTCCTTTCCCCCTTGCCCATGCCTATCCGCCTTGCTCATTCCTTTCCCCCTTGCCCATGCCTATCCGCCTTGCTCATTCCTTTCCCCCTTGCCCATGCCTATCCGCCTTGCTCATTCCTTTCCCCCTTGCCCATGCCTATCCGCCTTGCTCATTCCTTTCCCCCTTGCCCATGCCTATCCGCCTTGCTCATTCCTTTCCCCCTTGCCCATGCCTATCCGCCTTGCTCATTCCTTTCCCCCTTGCCCATGCCTATCCGCCTTGCTCATTCCTTTCCCCCTTGCCCATGCCTATCCGCCTTGCTCATTCCTTTCCCCCTTGCCCATGCCTATCCGCCTTGCTCATTCCTTTCGCCCTTGCTCATGCCTATCCGCCTTGCTCATTCCTTTCCCCCTTGCCCATGCCTATCCGCCTTGCTCATTCCTTTCCCCCTTGCCCATGCCTATCCGCCTTGCTCATTCCTTTCCCCCTTGCCCATGCCTATCCGCCTTGCTTATTCCTTTCCCCCTTGTCCATGCCTATCCGCCTTGCTCATTCCTTTCCCCCTTGCCCATGCCTATCCGCCTTGCTCATTCCTTTCGCCCTTGCCCATGCCTATCCGCCTTGCTCATTCCTTTCGCCCTTGCTCATGCCTATCCGCCTTGCTCATTCCTTTCCCCCTTGCCCATGCCTATCCGCCTTGCTCATTCCTTTCCCCCTTGCCCATGCCTATCCGCCTTGCTCATTCCTTTCGCCCTTGCCCATGCCTATCCGCCTTGCTCATTCCTTTCGCCCTTGCTCATGCCTATCCGCCTTGCTCATTCCTTTCCCCCTTGCCCATGCCTATCCGCCTTGCTCATTCCTTTCCCCCTTGCCCATGCCTATCCGCCTTGCTCATTCCTTTCGCCCTTGCCCATGCCTATCCGCCTTGCTCATTCCTTTCGCCCTTGCTCATGCCTATCCGCCTTGCTCATTCCTTTCCCCCTTGCCCATGCCTATCCGCCTTGCTCATTCCTTTCCCCCTTGCCCATGCCTATCCGCCTTGCTCATTCCTTTCCCCCTTGCCCATGCCTATCCGCCTTGCTCATTCCTTTCCCCCTTGCCCATGCCTATCCGCCTTGCTCATTCCTTTCCCCCTTGCCCATGCCTATCCGCCTTGCTCATTCCTTTCCCCCTTGCCCATGCCTATCCGCCTTGCTCATTCCTTTCCCCCTTGCCCATGCCTATCCGCCTTGCTCATTCCTTTCCCCCTTGCCCATGCCTATCCGCCTTGCTCATTCCTTTCCCCCTTGCCCATGCCTATCCGCCTTGCTCATTCCTTTCCCCCTTGCCCATGCCTATCCGCCTTGCTCATTCCTTTCGCCCTTGCTCATGCCTATCCGCCTTGCTCATTCCTTTCCCCCTTGCCCATGCCTATCCGCCTTGCTCATTCCTTTCCCCCTTGCCCATGCCTATCCGCCTTGCTCATTCCTTTCCCCCTTGCCCATGCCTATCCGCCTTGCTTATTCCTTTCCCCCTTGTCCATGCCTATCCGCCTTGCTCATTCCTTTCCCCCTTGCCCATGCCTATCCGCCTTGCTCATTCCTTTCGCCCTTGCCCATGCCTATCCGCCTTGCTCATTCCTTTCGCCCTTGCTCATGCCTATCCGCCTTGCTCATTCCTTTCCCCCTTGCCCATGCCTATCCGCCTTGCTCATTCCTTTCCCCCTTGCCCATGCCTATCCGCCTTGCTCATTCCTTTCGCCCTTGCCCATGCCTATCCGCCTTGCTCATTCCTTTCGCCCTTGCTCATGCCTATCCGCCTTGCTCATTCCTTTCCCCCTTGCCCATGCCTATCCGCCTTGCTCATTCCTTTCCCCCTTGCCCATGCCTATCCGCCTTGCTCATTCCTTTCGCCCTTGCCCATGCCTATCCGCCTTGCTCATTCCTTTCGCCCTTGCTCATGCCTATCCGCCTTGCTCATTCCTTTCCCCCTTGCCCATGCCTATCCGCCTTGCTCATTCCTTTCCCCCTTGCCCATGCCTATCCGCCTTGCTCATTCCTTTCCCCCTTGCCCATGCCTATCCGCCTTGCTCATTCCTTTCCCCCTTGCCCATGCCTATCCGCCTTGCTCATTCCTTTCCCCCTTGCCCATGCCTATCCGCCTTGCTCATTCCTTTCCCCCTTGCCCATGCCTATCCGCCTTGCTCATTCCTTTCCCCCTTGCCCATGCCTATCCGCCTTGCTCATTCCTTTCGCCCTTGCCCATGCCTATCCGCCTTGCTCATTCCTTTCGCCCTTGCTCATGCCTATCCGCCTTGCTCATTCCTTTCCCCCTTGCCCATGCCTATCCGCCTTGCTCATTCCTTTCCCCCTTGCCCATGCCTATCCGCCTTGCTCATTCCTTTCCCCCTTGCCCATGCCTATCCGCCTTGCTCATTCCTTTCCCCCTTGCCCATGCCTATCCGCCTTGCTCATTCCTTTCCCCCTTGCCCATGCCTATCCGCCTTGCTCATTCCTTTCCCCCTTGCCCATGCCTATCCGCCTTGCTCATTCCTTTCCCCCTTGCCCATGCCTATCCGCCTTGCTCATTCCTTTCCCCCTTGCCCATGCCTATCCGCCTTGCTCATTCCTTTCCCCCTTGCCCAAGCCTATCCGCCTTGCTCATTCCTTTCCCCCTTGCCCATGCCTATCCGCCTTGCTCATTCCTTTCGCCCTTGCTCATGCCTATCCGCCTTGCTCATTCCTTTCCCCCTTGCCCATGCCTATCCGCCTTGCTCATTCCTTTCCCCCTTGCCCATGCCTATCCGCCTTGCTCATTCCTTTCCCCCTTGCCCATGCCTATCCGCCTTGCTTATTCCTTTCCCCCTTGTCCATGCCTATCCGCCTTGCTCATTCCTTTCCCCCTTGCCCATGCCTATCCGCCTTGCTCATTCCTTTCGCCCTTGCCCATGCCTATCCGCCTTGCTCATTCCTTTCGCCCTTGCTCATGCCTATCCGCCTTGCTCATTCCTTTCCCCCTTGCCCATGCCTATCCGCCTTGCTCATTCCTTTCCCCCTTGCCCATGCCTATCCGCCTTGCTCATTCCTTTCGCCCTTGCCCATGCCTATCCGCCTTGCTCATTCCTTTCGCCCTTGCTCATGCCTATCCGCCTTGCTCATTCCTTTCCCCCTTGCCCATGCCTATCCGCCTTGCTCATTCCTTTCCCCCTTGCCCATGCCTATCCGCCTTGCTCATTCCTTTCGCCCTTGCCCATGCCTATCCGCCTTGCTCATTCCTTTCGCCCTTGCTCATGCCTATCCGCCTTGCTCATTCCTTTCCCCCTTGCCCATGCCTATCCGCCTTGCTCATTCCTTTCCCCCTTGCCCATGCCTATCCGCCTTGCTCATTCCTTTCCCCCTTGCCCATGCCTATCCGCCTTGCTCATTCCTTTCCCCCTTGCCCATGCCTATCCGCCTTGCTCATTCCTTTCCCCCTTGCCCATGCCTATCCGCCTTGCTCATTCCTTTCCCCCTTGCCCATGCCTATCCGCCTTGCTCATTCCTTTCCCCCTTGCCCATGCCTATCCGCCTTGCTCATTCCTTTCCCCCTTGCCCATGCCTATCCGCCTTGCTCATTCCTTTCCCCCGTTGCTCACCTCCTCCCCTCCTTCTTCCGTGGGCAGCTACGTTGATGGAGAGCCAACGGACGATGCGCTGTGGATCTTCAAGTGGATGCACGCCACTGCTGCTGCTGCCGAGGCAGGGGTAAGTGGCGGTGGAGATGCTAGGTGCAGCGCCTCCCACTGTGTGCTGAGGGCCTGCCACCGCCCCTCTGTTGATACCTCAGTCCCCAGCCGTCCCACAGGCACCTCCTCTGCCCCGACCAGGACAACAACCCCTCGCCACTGGAGGGGCGGCGCTTTGCCGTGTTAGGGCTGGGCAATTGGCAGTACGAGCACTTCAACCTGGTATGCCCATGTCATGCTCCACCTTGAGCTTGGCTGCCCTGCCAACCAACACGCCGTGAAGCTGTTCAGCACCATGCCGGGTTGTCTCGTCCTTCAACGTCACCGCTCGCATGGCTGCTCCCCCATCCATCCTCATCGCCATACGCCCATCCACCTCCCTCTCCACGTCCGTATGTCTCCCCCTTCCTACCCGTACCACCCAGATTTGCCTTCCCACCACCTCCTGTTCCAACGCTCTCTTTTCCCTGACCATCCCCCTCGCTGTGTGTGTGTGTGCGCACGTGCAGATGGGCAAGATGCTTGACAAGCACCTCGCTGCTCTAGGTATGCTGCTATCCCATGCCCTCCCTGCCCTCCCAGCCCTCCCTGCCTTCGCTGTACACGGGGGCCCTTGGCCCCTGTGCATATGAGCTGGTGGGCTACGTCTCATCGGCTGTGATTTGCAAAAGTTCCTGGGTTTCGACAACCAGGTGCAGGGAAGGGAAGGAGGATGACATAGTAGGCCTAATCATTATCACTCGCGTCCCCCATCCCTCCCATCATGTCACCCCCTTCCCCCCCACCAACACTTCCCCTCCCCATCCCTCTTCCTCCCATGCCCTCCCCTCCCGTTCAGTGTGTGAATTGTCACACACTGTAGGCACACCGTTGCGTGTCATCCCCCCCATGCTTGCAAGAATGCAGCACTGCAGATGGCGGCAGCCATGTGGCCACACGGTGTTTGCTCGCCTGCTCATACAACACGGTGCATGTGAGTGTCTCTTACTTCCGCCATCTGCCCTGCCCTATCCGCCTTGCCTGATCCGCCTTACCCCATCCGCCTTCCCCATCCCACCCTGCCCCATTCCGTCTTCCTCCACCAGCCCCAACGGCCTTCCCCAACACGCTTTCCCCCACCTACCTTCCCCCATCTACCGGTAACACCTCCAGGTACCACTCCCCTTACAGTTGGCCGCCACACCAATGCCTTCATGTTTAGAAGGCCCACGGTGGGAGGAGCAATCATATCGCAGCAGCTGGCTGCCTTACGTGCGCTGTTGTCGCTGCTTGTTTCATCGCACTCCCCACCCCTCTTCCCTCTTCCACTCATCACTCTGTTCCATCCACAAATCCCAAGTCCGTTCTTGCTCATGAGCTCTCCGCCATCATTTCTTGCATCTTGTCAAATCAAAATTTCTCTGCTTCCATCGGACCCAACAGTTTCACCTAATCTTACCCATTGACATGCTCAGTGCCACCCCCCATTCTCCCACTTTATTCTCATACCCAGAATCCCCTCACCTATCTCATTCCGTGAACACACCTTACCTACTCCTAACTCACCCTGCATCTCACATCCTATTCCCCACAAATTTGGGCGCCGAACACACCCACATGCTCTTGCCCATTCTTGTTTCTCCACTACAATCCCCCCCTCTCACAAGGCCTGATTTCTCCATTCCTATGCTGCCTTTTCATCCACTCCTGTGTGCAGGCCCAATTGACGGCAATGTTTCGGAGCATGCGTTCGCCTGATGTATCAACCTACCAAACTATTTCAACAATGCAGCGTTCTTTGTGAATTATACGGATGGGAGATTATATACTAGGATGCCTAGCATTGGAGAATGGTATGGATTGAGTATGCAAACACAAAAACCGGCAGTGTCAAAACAAAAGTTCACATATCAGGGTAAACATGCCGTCACATTTTTAGAAGACAATGACGATGTGAAGTTTGCAACGGGAAAAGTTGCGAGCCACGCTCAACCATCTGAGGTTTCTTGGAGGCCCTTTAGTTAATGTTATGCCTCACCAGATTGGGATTGTGGACCTGTCTAGAGTGCGCTACGTCTTTCGGAGGAGCAACGTTTAGAGAGTGCTGAAAAAAGCAGCACATGCAAGACGTCAGATGAAGGATGAAATAAACAGTGATGAGCTGAAGACGGGGTTGATGACTGACTTGGGACACTTGCACATCAACCAAGAAACCTGGACCTGTGACAGAGATGTGTCAGAGACCAGACGGCACAGGTGGGAGAGGGGATGGGGGAGGTGGGGGGGTTGGGATGCCATTGAAAGTGTAGGTGGCACGATTATGCAGTCGTACAGTGCAAAAAGGAAGACTGACTGCTCATGGGCACTAAAAAAGAAGTGACATCATATAGGAGTTAGGCACATCAGTCATGTAAGGCAGTAAGAGTGTGACTTGTGCCATAAAGTACTCTAGGGTATGGGGCTGATTGGGAGTACGCATACCGTATTGGAGAAGTCAGGTTGTGTGTGTTACAATCCACGTTTACGTGTGAAACCCCTGCTTGCCAATAGCGTCAGCGTAGGTTGGTTGGCAAGTCTCCTGTGGGTTGGTATCAGAAAGCAGAAATGCACAGATTTGACAAACCAGCACTAAAGGACATAAGCGTAGGGTGGATGCGGCTGCTGAAGCACGAGAAGGAATTTCGGGACAAGCCAATTATGTCTATAATCACGAACCCAGCAAACGGCGACGAGCTTGTGACACCGCCGCGTCTTACTGCAGCCATCGACGGAAACTTTGGGTTGGCTTCCTGCAAATTGTCACAACAGTAGAAGAATGTGACGACATCATCTAGTGACTTGATCAGGTAGTGTAGTGATATGGTAATGGAGTGAGCAAAAACATTGGGGGGTATGGTGATATGGTAATGGAGTGAGCAAAAACAGTGGGTGGTGTAGTGATGTGATAATGGAGTGAGCAAACACTATGGCCGGTGTGGTGAGGGGGTAATAGAGTAAGCAAAAACGATAGGGGGTGTGCTGATGTGATTATGGAGTGAGCAAAAGTAGTGGGTGGTGTGATGAATAGGTAATGGAATAATAGAAACCAGTGGGGTGTGTGGGGTGATATGGTAATGAAATGAGCATAAACAGTGGGTGGAGTGGAGTTGTGGTTGAAGAGTGAGCAGAAAAAATGGGGGGTTTAGTGATGTGGTAATGGAGTGTTAAAATACGGTAGGTTGGTGTGGTGATGTGATAATGGAGTGAGCAAAAAAGAGTGGGTGGTGTGATGAATTGGTAATGGAATGATAGATAACAATGAGGGATGTAGTGATATGGTAATAGTATGAGTATAAACAGTGGGGATACGGTGATGTGGTAATGGTGTGAGCAAAAACAATAAGGAAAGGTGGTGATGTGGTTGTGAAGTGATGATTATTGTACCTGTCTGAGGGGTCGTTGGGGGTGCTTGATCGATTGGTTCTCCCAAGAAATCCGTATCAGCGTGAGCGCCATTGCAAGCGAGTGCGACCACCAGAGACGCTTGTGATGAGGGACGCAACCCATGCTCTGGGTGGATGTCGTACCCCCACAGCTCCTCTACATCCCGCCAACAAACTTCTACCAACACTGGACCCTCCAGCATCTCAACCGCATCCCCTCCATCGCCCGTTCCCTCATGCGCAGGCACGCCATGTTCATGAATCAGTGAGAGCATAACGGGTATGTCAACCGTTTCATTATCCTCTTCATCCTCTTCGCTCCTATGTGACTCTGGCCCACGACCAGCCTCATGCAACCCTTTGGCGCACGTCACCTGCTGCAATTCCAGATGCATCCATTTCGCATCTGCCGGTTTCACGTAGCGATAAACAATACTGAGCTCAGCGCAAACCGTCTCAATGAACTCATCTTTTCCCGTTTTGCCCTCCGCTTTGCTTGGAGCCTTCTTTAATAACCAAGCCTTCAAATTCTTCAATGTGTGCATGTGTAGGTCCTCAACAGTCTCAGCATCATCAGCCACCACTTTTCTGACAAGGTTCTGCAGCTCGTTTTCAAATCTTTTCACCACCGATCATCTTTTATGCCACCAGTCAATCTGATGACGGACTCCTCTTTCTACAGCAGCACCTCGAAAGGTACTACCCTCATCGGTAACAATCCCCTCCATCTCAAACCCCTGCTCCTTGAGGAAATCCGTCCCCCTTTTGAATCCTACACTTTCAAGCCTAGGTGCGGAATCATCATCGACCTCAAGTTTTGTGGTCTCTACATGCAAGATCTTCCTACTTTCAGGATGGAGGAAGGACACAGTACACCACTCAGCCTCTCGCGCTTGTGACCATCTGCCATCAACACTGATGTAACCCACGCCACCCACTCTCTTAGATAAAGTGTTACGCACGCCCCCCTATCGAGTTCTGTGCTGCACGAATAATGGCATTCCATAAGCCGTCCTCACCTTGCAGCAAACGATAGAATGTTCCCTTGCCCAGATTCGGAAGTCCAAGATTGCGACACACTTCCCACATCACTTGAAATCCTACCCCCGCAAGGGCAAAGGCACCGACGAACCTGGGCATGAGCTTTGACGTCCTTGGCCCGGTCTTTCTCCTGTTTGATGTGTGCTCCTTTTTCGGACTTGACCATACTTCCCTGCCGCGTGTGCACGTGTTACAGTGCCAATAAAGACTGAAACAAGCCCATGCTGTTTTCCACGACACGAGTGCCATACTCCCCGAACAGCCCGCTCGTGTGCAACAGATCTGTAGTGATCCCACCGTTTCGAGCAAGTGCCTTGGTTGTAGAAGGCATACCGTGTACTCAGACACATCTGTGATGCTTGGAGCGGCTGACCACCCTCGTGGGGCCGTGTTTTTCCTCTTACAGGTGGTTCTGTCTCGAGTTGTCGTCCTGTTGATTGTTGGGTTCCGCAAAGGACAGGGACGCGGCTAAAAGGGTAAGGTTGGAAAATGCTAGTAAACAAAAAAGCGAAAACGGGCCGTCAGATGGTAGAAGGATGTTCCCCCCTATGGCAGCCAACTATTTCCCCACTGCTAGCCAAGGTAAACACAAAAAATACCCCCTCAAGCTCGCGAAAAGAACATCCAAAGTAATAATTAACACACTCCCACCTTTGATCCTGAGCCAGCGCTCCATCTTCTTCGTGTGTGGGTCCCACATGACCGTCTCCTCCCTCAGCAACTATGCATGCCGACCCCACAGTCAGGTTGGGAACGGCTTCGGCTTCCACAGCTGGTAGACTTGTATCCCCTGCATGTATATCACACATGGTGGGAGTTATAACGAAACATAACTTAGAACGGGCTTGTGATGTTCGAGTGCTCGTGTATTGGGTGTCCGCAATTTGATTTTGTCTGCGTGGCATTTTCTTTGCTAGATATGTGGTTTCCGCACCTTATTAATCATTCATCCACAATCCATATCTCACCTTGTGTGCGCATCCCCTCAAACGCCTTGCCTTTCTGAGGGCCACCCCACCCATTTCCTCTAACGGGGCGTAATCTTCCGCGTTGGTCTTCCTTGTAGGCAGGGAAGTCGTATACAAGCCCCTTGAGTATACGGTCAGCCTTCCCCATTATCGTGGTCACAGCGTTCACGCCATCGTTCGCCCGCGAATCAAACTGACGCCCGTATGTCCCAAGATGTAGCTCTGCCGTCGCTACCGCTTCCGCCCCATTCTCACATGGATGGGGATACACGTGTTGGAAAGCCAGCATAGATGCACAATCATGTTCTAAGGTTATGCAAACCCCTGGTTGCTTAACAACACATGCAATAGCAATTCGTATCGATGTCTCACTGCCCATATACACTTACCGGCTTCTTTTGCTGCCCGCATGAGCCGTTTGCATGCAGCGGGAGCATTCATCATAACGTAGTAGAGAACATCTGCTGTCGTCGCAACGTTCTCTCCTCCCATCAGCGCGGACAACCCGCACCTCTGGAGGCATATGACAGACCGCATATGTTTTGATATTCCGTGCATAGGCTTGTCATGCTCCCCACTAAGCTCGCTCCCTGGATGGTCCCCACCTTTGGCCACATCATTGGTTTGCCTGTTAAAGAGGAGTGGAGAAGAAAAGGTATGGGAGTGGGATGGACATAATGCAAACAGTTTCTTGGGGTGCCTCTGCGGTGAATTTAGAAGGGAAGCGTTGTCTACTAGAAGTGCGACAGGGGGCGAGTATCCACCCTGTTCAAGGCAGAAAAGCTCAGTGTAGGGAAACGCAGGAAACAAAATCCCTAGGATATAATAGAACTGGCCAGAAAAGCTCAAGGTAGAAAAGCCCAGAGCAAGGACGCCTAGGGCAGGGGAAGCCCAGTGTAGGCAATGGTGGTTGGGGCAAGGCGGAAGGGGGCAATGCGGAAGGGGGCAAGGCAGATGGGGGAAGGTGAATAGGGGCAGGTGGATGAGGCAAGGTGGGTGGGGGAAGGAGGATGGGGAAAGGCGGATGGAGGAAGGCGGATGCGGCAAGGAGGATGGGCAAAGGAGGATGGGGCAAGGCGGATGTGGGGAGGTGGATAGGGGCAGGGAGGTGGGGGCAAGGAGGTTGGGGAAACGTGGATGGGGAAAGGTGGATGGGGAAAGGTGGATGGGGAAAGGTGGATGGGGAAAGGTGGATGGGGAAAGGTGGATGGGGAAAGGTGGATGGGGAAAGGTGGATGGGGGAAGGTGGATGCGGCAGCACGGATGGGGGAAGGTGTATGGGGCAAGGCGGAATGAGGGTGCGTGGATGGGGGAAGGTGGATGGGAGAAGGTGGATGGCAGAAGGTGGATGGGAGAAGGTGGATGGGAGAAGGTGGATGGGAGAAGGTGGATGGGGGACGGTGGATGGGGTAAGGGGGAAGGGGGCAAGGCGGATGGTGTAAGGCGGAAGGGGGCATGTGGATGGGGGAAGGCGGATGGGAGAAGGTGGATGGGAGAAGGTGGATGGGAGAAGGTGGATAAGGCAAGGCAGAATGGGGGAAGGTGGTTGCGGGAAGGGAATTGAGGCATGGCGGAATGGGGGAAGGTGGAATGGGGGAAGGGGGATGAGGCATGGCGGAATGGGGGAAGGTGGTTGCGGGAAGGGAATTGAGGCATGGCGGAATGGGGGAAAGTGGATCGGGGAAGGTGGAATGGGGGAAGGGGGATGAGGCAAGGCGGAATGGGGGATGGTGGATGGGGAAAGGTGGAATGGGGGAAGGGGGATGAGGCAAGGCGGAATGGGGGAAGGTGGAATGGGGGAAGGGGGATGAGGGAGGGCGGAATGGGGGAAGGTGGTTGCGGGAAGGGAATTGAGGCATGGCGGAATGGGGGAAGGTGGATGGGGGAAGGTGGTTACGGGAAGGGGGATGTGGCATGGCGGAATGGAGGAAGGTGCATGTAGAGGTGTCAGATTCGCGAATGTAGTTATTGTCGTTCCTCAAATGTGCATACACTGTAGGCAGACGGTATGCGCGACTGCAGGTGCATGCTTCACTGGCATACCGTGTACTAGATGCTGCTATACGGACCTGCCGGAGGGTTTTTTTCGACGCCGGCGAGCCAT